TACCAAAGTAGTTTACAAGTTTTGATAAATACCATTTCCCCTAATTTTTGGTTAGGTATAATTTTAAAATAAATATTTAAGTTAAAATAAACTGAAAAGTTACAAAATAGCATGCTGTTTCTACCCCAAATTTAACAAATCCTAACATTTTGCCATATTTTGTTCATGATCTAAGGAACTAAAACACTGCAGATACCATAAAAGCCCCTGCTTTTATTCTGTCCCCCTTTCCTCTCCATAACCAAATTTACTGAAATTGATATGTGTTATACCTATCCATATAGTTTTACTACATATGTACATATTGAAGATTTACCCTGATAGCTTTCTTAAAGGTATGACTTCATAACCCAGGACACTTCTGTCCCCCTTATTTTGTTTTATAATTACTGCATCTATTATTTCCTAACATGCCACCTAAGTGTATTATTTTTGTCTATTTCCCTTGACTAATGTGTATGCTCCATGAGAGCAAAGACTTCTGTAGGTTATGCTCTCTGATGTACTTGTAGTGCCTGGCTCAAAAGGTTCACCGTAAACATTTATTGAATGAAAGTATGGGTGTTAGAACCTGACTGCCTGTGTTCAAGTTCTGTGTTCAAGTTTCCTAGCTGCGGACCTAAACCAGTTTATGTGGCTGTAAAATGGGATTCTAATAGTACCTAACTGAAAGCTTGGCCATAACTATACGTAAAACAAGTTACAATAGGGTCTGGTATATTGTAAGCACTCAGTGCATATTAACTATGACTTATTTCAAGATTTCATTCATGGTAGATCTCGTTCAGCGTGATTCTGTAATGATACCTGATGAGCAATTCATGGTTGTACCAGGATTATAGTCTAGGTTGGCAACTGGCAAATGACCAAGTCTGTCACTGTGACAAAGTAGCTAAGAAAATCAATTGAATGAGGAAAGGATTGGGAAAGGAGAAAAAGGAGAGGAGGCTGGAGGGGATGAGGGAGAGGGAAAGAGATCCCAACAGCTTTCAACACAAGTCTGTGGGGGACACAGTACATCCAAAGTATAACAGGTTCTCTGCTTTATAGTTTCAAGTGTGCATGGTATAATTTATACTTTTTAAGCAAACTAATTTCTTCTACCAGCAACTTTTCACTAAATTTTCAAGTAGTCATAAGGGCACATGGATGCATTATTGATTTTATACATAATTCCAAATTTATCTATCACCAAATTTGACTAATTTTATTGCTTCCCTTATCCTTGCTTACTTTTATTAGAAATGTTAAGAGGTGGAGGGTGTAGTATAGTCACACAGAAGGCTGAGAAGAGGATCAATTTCTTCAAATGAAACCTTTAGGCTGGAAAATAACATTTCCCTATTACAGTAGTTGATCTCATTGTTTCCCTGATTAATAGAAATTCCTTTTAAAAATGAGGACTTGTTTTTCTTTCCCCTGGCTAATACTAGAGGTCTTCTCTCTGTCCTTATCCTTTCCCTTCTCCGTTGCGAAATTGTTTTGTAGGAAACCTGGTAGCTACTGTCCCCAACAATCCTTAGAAGCCCAGCTAGAAGAGCAACCACAAGAAATATAGCTGCATGCATCTCCTGGAGGGGCCTCGAACATCAAGATGACTTTAGCAACACAAAGACAATGTGAAGGTTTAAAACATTTTAGTATTTACAGACCCCCTCCTCCTGATGATGAGGAACACAGGAGTCAGAGAGCACAGGCATGGACAGAACACGGGACTTGTGGGCCACTGACTTTATTGGGGCCAGGGCAGTATCCAAATTGGTTTCCGCTTGCTGGAGCCATTCTGGTGGGCTGTAGTACTGGAAACTGGGTCAAATATGGCTGAATATGAGAAAGACAAACTTAGGATGCTAAGACACCATAAAATTACAAGCACTCGCTACAGGAATATATTGGAGACGGGGCAGTGGTACAGCACTCTCCCAGCATGCACTGGGTTCAATCCTCAGCAGTTCAAATGACACTTACAAAAATATACGCATATATATATATATATACCCCATAAGAAATATTAAATCATCATGATTAGGCCTGTTATTTTATCTATTGTTTTGTAGGAAATCAGCCCACAACTTAGCACTCTGAAACAACACACATATTATCTCAGTTTCTGTGGGTCAATACACCAGACAGTTTAGCTCAGGGCCTCTGCCTCAAGGTCTTTCAGGAGAAGGAGGCACTCACTATTGAGATTTTGATTCTTCTTAAGGTCAGTTGGGAGAGATTCAGCTTCCACATTCATTCAGTAGTTGGCAGGACTGAGCTGGCTGTTGGCCAGAAGCTTCCCTCATTCCTTGTCATGTGGGCCTCTCCCTAGATCACACACAACACAGCAGCTTGCTTTCCTCCAAAAGGAAGCCACACTCTGAACACTGGCATTAACATCCCATCACCTCTGTGGCATCATAAAGAACTTAGTCAAAATCTAGCCTACACTGGAGACCAGAAGGGTACAAGAGGACAGGAAAAGCAGAAGACACGAACAGAATGAATAGTTGGGGCTATCTCAGAGGCCACACCAGGTACCACCTTGTGCCATGTTTAGCAGTATGTGAAAGGTACACTGTATTCATCCTTGTGTCCTGTCTTTCATGCACTTGCTCAGGTACTTCTCCCCCACTGGCTGCTACCATCTGTTCCTTACATCTCTACTGACTCCTTTTTCTGTCATTTTCTTTTTCCAGTTCCTGGTTTTCCACATCTTTGTGCATTCTCTCAGAAAGTACATCTGTCAAGATTGAGACTCTCAGGTCTAGCTCTCCTACCTGTATTCTGTAAAATCACTAATTAACTCAAACCTATTTTGCCCTTTTTTGGATTCCTACAGCATATAGGGTCAGTGGCATTCTGCTAAGATTTCTTTTTCCTCTATTTTTCTTGTCTCCCCAAAAATGAAATCTTTTAGAGAAAGGATCATGTTTTTAATTGTGTATGTCTTGGTACACTTTGAGAGTCCTGGTTTTAGCATTCAATAGGGTTAGGGTTAGCATTCAATAGCTTAGTGATTTGTGTACCTTACTATACCTGGTAGTAGTTTTTTTTTGGGGGGGTACCTGAGATCAAACTCAGGTCTTTGTGCTTGCAAGGCAGATGGTGGCACCACTGAGCTAAATCCCTGGCTACCTGGCAGTAGTTTTGATCACAAACTGGGAATACAAGGATAAGTGCAGAAGGAAACCAGCTAAATGGGACAATCTTAGCTAGTCTGAGAGTTTATGTAAACGAAAACCTTGAAAATGAAATAGGAATTAGGCAAGCAAAAGCAGGTGCCAAGAATGAATATCTCAAAGTCAAATTAACCATCTTTTCTACTTGTCTAATGGTTTTTGTTTGGTTGGTTGGTTTTTTGTTTTGTTTTGTTTTTTTGGTACTGGGGATTGAACTCAGGTCCTTGAGATTGCGAGGCAGGTGGTGGAACCACTGAGCTAAATCCCCGGCCCTCTAATGGTTTTGCTTTAACTTTGTTTCCTCTTACATCATTTTGTCCTGATCATGACAACTTTGATGCCAACCTACTGTCTCACTAAACACTATTGTGGATGTGGCTCCTTTAGAAAATGTCCTCTAGATATGTGATCTGTCATCCCTTTCTTCTCTTCCTTACTTTGCTTCTTGAACCACTGAGAGGATATTTACGTCACTGACTGAGAGTAGAAACTGCAAGAGGGACAAACTGGGAAAGCAATGATCATTTTCAGATATTTGAGCTGTCTGTGTGATGTCAAGCAGATCTGTCGATTAAGCAGTCGCGTACATCTCTTAGGAGTTCAGAAGCAAGGCAAGGTCTGGAAAAAAATTCAGTTTTCAATGTAGAGACGTTATTGAGATCCTGGGTATGACTGGGATCCTTCCTTCTTTTGTACCATCATTGGGTATTGAGATCCTAGGCTTATATTTAAAAAAATTGCAGAGTTTTGAAGAAATGGGGCATTTAGGGTTGAATACTAGTTTATGTGGCTAAATTCCCCAATAATTATTTCCTTTTCCTCCTCCTCTTCTCTCTCCCCCTTTTTTTTCTTTCTTTCTTTTCGTTTGCTTTTTGTTTTTCGAGACAGGGTCTTACTATATAGCTCAGGCTGGCCTCAAACTCATTGCGATCCTCCTGCCACAGCCTCCTGAGGGCTGGGGTTACAGGCTTGTGCCACCACGCCCAGCTAAATTCTCCAATTCTTTTTTTTTTTTTTTTTTTTTTTCCCC